GTGATTTTCATTTCAGCCAGAAGGCTTTATTATATCTGTAAGTGAACACAAAAATTCATTGGGTAGCTTAACATGCACCACTTGCATGTGATGGGAAGTCTTTCTTTTAGCCTGGGGGCTGCCACTACCTGAAGCGAAACAGGGGCTATGAACAACCTGATCAAATATTTTCGACACTAAATGTAATAACCATACCTGCAAAAATGATGCTTACCCGCGAATTCAGGAATCGATATCATCATTATTATCTCTGTGTTCAAGACCGGCCACAGGCCACATGCTTAGTAGCGAAATCATCACATAAAGTCAACGTGGGTATCTAAAATGGGGTCCTGTATAACTTGCCACCTTGACTCCTTTAACTCCATAACCACCATGCGCGGCCGACTCCAATTAGTCCTTATACCCTATCCAGACATTTCAAAAGCATTTGACGCAGTTAAACACCTACTGTTGATAGGTAAGTCAATATTTATGAGAAGTGATTATCCATTATAAGGATGGATTAAGTCTTTCCTCAGTAATCGCGCTCAAGTGAGGAAGGTAGATTCACACATTTTAAAACCTGGGCCAATCACCTCTAGTGTTGTTCAGGACAGTGTATTAGGTCCTCCTCTCCTTACTTTATATGTCGATGACATCTACAGATGCCTTACACACGGTGGACCATTCTTGTTTTCTGGTGACTTAAAAGTTGCATAGATATTTACCCACGATGATTTATCCCACTTCCAAGCACTAGTACAGAGGAAGCTTGGTGTGATATCCGCATGATCTACTGCTTGGAAACTTCAGTTCAGAACAATCAAACCTGGGCGGATAGGTTTTAATGTTCCATCGGTAAACATCCAACTACATCTTCAGTCCGCGAAACTACCCGTTCTTAAAAGTGTATGTGACCTTGGACTAAGATGTCCGAGGGACCTCACATTCTCTGAACAGGTGGCATCACAGACTCGCGAACCTGGGATCTTGATGGGTTGCATAGTTTGTAACTTCCACCCCAAAGAAGCCAAGCTACCGATCCATGTTCAACATTAGAATGTTGTCGACTTATATTGGGTGGCATCCGCATAAACGATAAACAAAAAATGGAGGATGCCCAAGGGTATTTTACAGCTAGATGACTAGGACACGATTGCAAACAGAACTACAGATTCAGATGCAGAACCTTAAGTCTAGAAACACTTAGGATGAGATGAATGAAAGTTAATCTTACACTCTTCTCTAGTGTGTCACATAACTTCACTTTTGCAGCCAGTGATGGGTTTCATTTCCAACACAACAGTTGTTACTATCTGTACAACCACATACACAGCGTCACAGTGAACTCGTTTAAATCCTGTTTGCGTGCTGATTTCCGCACCGTCAAATTTTCTCGGTTGTGAAACTGACTTCGTGCTGAAATTGAGGCCTCAAAATCAACCTCTGAATTTATTCGGTTACCAGTTAACTTCTTATCATCCGGAAACTTCCCGGCTTACCGAATGCACCAACGGTATCCTTCATGACACCTCAAATACTAGGTCCTTCCAATGTATAATGGGACATCTAGAACACCGGCGCTGGCTTTTCTTACGGAGCGCTGAGGAGACTTTCGTGGGTTATCACCTCAAACTAACATCACGCTCTGTCCCACCCGACATAGCAATCGAAAATGGGAGCTCTACACCACGTGATATCATGAAGCTTATTTTCTTAAGTATTTTACAGAGGAAGCACATACAATAAACGTCATAGCTAGGAAAGTTAAGTAGGGAGAAAAATGAACGTAGAAAACACTCCTCTTGCCGTAATTCTTGCATACTTCTCCGCCCGCCTTCTTGTCTGTTTTTCCTCGCTGTAGAAAAGCAATTCACTTCTAAATATTGGCCTGATCGTCATCGAGAATTAATTATTTAAGGAACAGACGTTGGCTGGAGCTGCCCTCCATGGAAGTAGCCAGTGCAACTGAGTTCTCAATATTTAAGTGCAACAAACAGCAACAAAGAACGTCCATTAGACTACAACTTCATAGCTATCAAAACATAGGATTGATCCATCCTGAAAGCGACCGGGAAAGTTTAAAGTTTGCCGAACACGAGGCTATCACAACCCATGAAAAAGGTGGACAAGATGTCTCGGAGGCCCACTTGGCGCATTCTAACAAGTCTATGGCTTTCGGATGCCGGAGTTATAAAAACGACGATATTTGACTCTCACGCGTAATGCTCCTCAGGATTGGGGGTCTTTGGTGTCAAATGTTACTAAAATGCACGACTTATACATTTCTGGAATCATCAACAAAGTACAATAAACAAACAACTTGTATACATTCCCTCACGAACTTTTCATCCTTATACCGTGTAAAGAGTACAAGCTATTACTGTGGAAGTATCAGCTTCAAGTTTTATTGCTTGCTGTCCACGCAATACATGTGAGACTGAGATACAAACATTGTTTTTTGCCAATGCGAAGACATTACTTCCACTCGCCCAACTTTTAAATTTTTGCATACTTATCTTTGTGAGGTGCTCCACCACATAAACATGCAGCACTTATATCTCCTAGTGACAGAATGGTCGGGGATTGAGATTACCTTCCATAAAGATACATGTAAATTACGTAGTAACTTATTCCTATCTGTAAAATGATGTTTGCTTGTATATTCAGGAACAAATACTACCATTATATTAAGGCCACCGGAAATAAATGTAAACCACCGCTTTTTGAATTTGTTCGAAGTGACAACAGTACCTTTATCACTTTGACGCTTTTTTCCTTTCCTGAGGAACGCAGCAACTCTCAAGAGTGAGGTCTAGGGCTATTGTGCAAGTGCCTATTCACACGTATAGACCTACAACTATGTTATATCATTTGTCATGAATAGCTGATCTGTAGAAATAGCACTCACGTCAACAGCGCATCACGATTCATGAGTCCTGTCGTCAAACTTTCAGATTATGCGTGAATTTGATGGAAACTCGTGTTTGCTTGTGCTCGAGTGATGCCAACTCGGATGCCCTGACCCAGTGGTACAACGGCAAAAACAGCGAGACAACAGAATGGACACGGTTGGTTGTGGAGATTTCAGTGGGAGTTTGGACTTCAAAACTTCTTTGGTAAAAGGGACCGAAGTTGCAGCCGATGCGCGCAGAATGTTTCAGCAGATCCAGGGAAGACTGATTTCGACTTAACCCGAAGTTCAGCTTCTGCATACAACACGGCTCCCGGCGGAAATGATTGTTTAGAAGTTAACTGTGACGAGTGCTTGGGAGGATCACATATGGCTTTGTTAATTACTTAGGGGTGGCTTCTGAAGACTGACTGTACAAAGCCACCAAAAAATAGAACTTGACAATGCATTTGGTGCTTGCAGATGTAGTACATGAGGGGATTGTTTGCGGCAACTTTGGCACATGCCGGTACCACGAATGCAGTGCGATTAATAGCCCAGCTGTGTTGTACGCTTGACTTAAGGCTGAGTAGAAATCAGCCTTCTGTAGAGCTGCTGAGGTACTCAAAGATCACCGGATGCAACTTCGATTACGTCTACCGAAGAAGTGTTCAAGTCCAAACTTCCACTGAGATCACCAACATATTCTATCTTTTGTTGTGACTTCGTCTATGGATGATGTTATGAACAATCCACAAATAAATTTAGAACTCCTTCATCTTCCTGCCTGGGTATGCCAACCATATCTAAGAACTGAAGCAGACTTTATTTGCACCGAAAGGTGGAGTAAGGGTAAATGGAGTTGTGCCTTGATGCAAATTACGAATAGGTGAGATGTACTGGTTTATTTCTTAAGTCCACTTTTCTTCGAACTCTACGGGAGAGTTAACTCTAACGGCTACATCGTCGATCCTCGCGTTCGTGGGCGATGCTAAGCTCTGAAGACCTATTCATAATGATAAGGATGAACGGCTCCAATGAGTTGGTTTAAATGCTGTGGTAGATTGGTCCAGGAGGTGGCGTCTAGAAATTAGCAGCCACGACAGGTGTTTCCATTACTACTTGATAAACAGGGTTCTGTTTCCCGAAGCGTTAAGATACAAGGACGTAGTCATCACAGGTAATTATACCAATAAAATATCAGCTTATAATGAAGTGTCATGTGCCAAGGCTGCTGAATGCTAGGGTCTTTAAAAAATGATTTTCACAAATTTCGTGAAAAATGCTTCGGATTATACGACCTGCTCACGCAAAACATAATTTGGGGTATACTTTTCAAGCAGTAACGTCATGTTTTACATGAGAGGTCAACATATTAGACTGTGATCAAAAGGTAGGAAATAAGACAGTCCTTGATCTATTTATACTGTCGTCAGGAAAAAGAGTGGGCTGATTATGTCCTTTTGGAGTCTTATCACAGGATAAGCGGTGATCTCATTCCAAAGCGCCCCACCTCAGATACTAATTAACGTGGTAAATTATCACAATAGCCTCCTCACTTTGGAATCATTCATGTCAAAAAGACATGATCTAGCAGTTTAAAAACCACCACCGAATCGTCTATCTCCAAGACTTCGCTACTCACGCAGAGCTGTGAGCCGACAGAACTTTTGACTGCTGATGCTTTCACCCAAAATGCTGATAGCGAGGGGCAGTACAGGTTATTGGTCTGTAACCCCACATTCTTGAAGACCGACCAGCGAAAACATTTAAACATAGATAAAAGTAACAGAGCGATAAAGAAGATCCTGCTTACTACGAAAGCCTACCTGATCAAAAACTAAAAAAACTTAAAACTTACAGATGGAGACCGGAAACCATCAAGTTCACATTCTGGCGATACTGCAGTGGTGTACTGTTTATTATGTTCATAGTATATGTGTAGCGGAAATTCAACTTTAACGCTACTGCAGTCTGCCTGTAAGTTTATATGCCCCTCAATCGTGTGAACGACGATTCGTAATGTATATGTGTTAATGAGTTCATCTTCCTGGTTTTCATTTGCAAAGAAAGAATTGTGAATTACCTAGTTTCCTTCTCAATAGTGATGGACTCAGTTATAAACAGCTTACAACGCAGTTTATTTAATACTGAATTGGAAGTTTGCAATATTCGGATTGTCCCTATCTGTTCTTACGTGTATGTCTAATCACCGTTGCATTCTGCATGGTGTATGCAGACGATATTGTCCTGCTAGGTGAAGGTGCTAACTCAATGCAAGGCCTTGTGAACGCGCTGAACAGAAATCTGAGTTTTTGGTTCAGATGCGTTCCTCTGGCATCTGTCAAATGCAAGGTAATGCCCTTGCACTGGTATGCTGAAAGTACTCCTAGTTAGACGTTAGGGAGTGAAGCAGTGAAATATGTCAACCATTTCACTTACTTGGTGAGCTGCAGCAACTCGGACTAGGTGGTTGCTGACGTAATCTCAGCTCGGATAGAGAAGGTGGATTCGGCGTTTGCCAACTTGCGCCATCCCTGGCTCTTACTTGTAAGATATCCGACTTCAGAGTAGGGGAAGGATATATTGCGTTGCAATCCGTTCTGTTCTGTTATACGGCCGTGAGACATGGTCATTAAAAGTAGAAGATATGAAGTGGTTACGGAGTTTCGATGATAGGTATGTGCGATGGATTGTTCACGTTTAGTGGATTGATCATGTGAGCCATGTTGAGGTCAGGCGTAAGGTAATGGGCAATGGGTAAGGCAAGTCGATTGATGAGGTTGTAAACCTTAGTTGAGTGAGATGGCTTAAACATGTGTTGCGTGTGCCAAGCTGCCATCTACCTTGACGTGCCGTTCTCGAGGAAGTTGAATGGGGTTTGAAGGGGAGCTCAGGATGATCAGACGAAGATGTGGAGCCAGTCGATGAATAGTCTGACTGTTGGTCTGAGACGTATTGGTAGAGCCTATGGCGAGTTGTCCAGGGAGCTATACTCATCAAGTGGTGTCCGTCAAGGATGCCCACTATCTCCATTCTTATTTAATTTTATCATAGATATTTTTATGGAGGTTTCTCTCTCGTCACCGAATTACACAAACGTTGACCCAATCACAGGTGAATTTTTTTTAGATCTAGAATATGCAGATGACATAGTCCTGTTAGGTGAAGACGCTGACAAGATGCAGTCTTCTGAACACTTTGAGTGGGAATTTGAAAATGTTTGGGATGCGATTTTCATCACCCAAATGCAAACTTTTGCTCCAGGACTGGTCTTCAGTGGTACCGCGGCTAACAACAGAGAGTGAAGTGGTTGAGTGTATTGACCACTTCACTTACCTGGGAAGTAGGATCAACCCCGGTGGGTTAGTTGCCTATGAGATTTCTGCACGGACACAAAAGGCTCGATTGGCTTTTGCCAATTTGCGCCACCTATGGCGCCGCCGTGATATTCGTTTGTCTATTAAGGGTTGCGTGTACTGCACAGCAGTCCGGTCTGTTCTACTGTATGGCTGTGAAACATGGCCATTGAAAGTGGAAGATATAAAAAGGCTTGAGGTGTTTGACCACAGTTGCCTGCCTTCGTGGTATAGGACGTATTCCTCGGTGTCACCATGTGAGTAATGCAGAAGTTAGGTGTAGATTTTTTGGGAGAAGAGGTAAGTCAGTTGACGAGGTTATGAACCTTCATCGACTGAGATGGTTGGGACACGTACTACGTATGCCTAGTCACCGATTGCCTCGTCACACAATGTTGGCTGAGGTGGGTCCAGGCTGGAAAAAGGCCCGAGGTGGCCAGACTAAAACATGGCACCAATGTATGAAGTCTCTGACAGTTGGTTTAAGCCATGTAGAACGATGCAGACTAGGTGGTTGGGGTCCACGGGACAATAAGAACCAGTGGTTGGAGACCCTAGGTGATATGGCTCAGAACCGAAGTCAGTGGCGCAGATGTATACATACATTATCCTCATCTTAACAACACTATACCGAATCTCACCATTTTGTCACTCCTCTTTCCTTTCTTCTCGTACTTTATATTTCTTTTGACTGAATTTTCTTATCTTCATCCTTCACCTCACTACCTTTCCACTTGATGAACTGACGTGAGGCGTGACAACTCGGACCGTTACGCAGTAATGCCTGGTCCTATGTTGATAATGATGATGATGTATTGGTAGATGTATACTAGCTGACTGTGGTCCTGGAAATGATAGGAATCAGTGGTTGATGACTCTTGGTGAGGTGGCTGAGAATCGGCCAGAGTGGTGCAGATGTATTCACTCCTTGGCATCTAAAGCTTGAATATTCACACTAACTGTTATCCTCAAATTTTTATTGTCCCAAATTACTTTATCTACTTTGAAATCACTTTTTCACCCACCTGTTCCTTTCATACTACTGTGGATTGTGGCAAATTGAAGTGATGCACCTATACACGAGGTTCTACGTTGATTTTGTTAATCAGGATCAGTCATTCGATAAGTGCTAAAAGATTACTGAGAAGGTGCTGACAAAATAGACCCAGGAAGTCAAATTAGGGAAAAGTTTATTTTGAAAGTATTTACATTGTTATATATACATACAGCGCAGGCACTGTTATTCATTGCTATCTTTTGCCTACACGTTTTCATTTTTGGAATGTGTGTTCCAAACCCATCACAAGTGGTTTCATCTCGTCTGTGCCATCCGTATATAGAGACTAACGAATAAATAGGAAGTTCTCTTCGTTGAAGTTCTTTTCTCACTACTTCCAAAACGAACGTGTTTGTTGTGAAACCATGACGTGATAATTTTTTGATGTGACATGTCAGACAGTCACATCTTTGGTCACTGTATTTTAATTTTATATCCGTTCGTCTACAAGATTATCCGCAAATTTCGATCCACGTAACTTACTTCCAGCCTCGGTGATTAGCAGCTGAATTGCCTATAAGGAGTACGGCACCATCAACTCTCTCTGTATTCCTAACCAGGTTGAGAATTTCTTCCCACATTGATGTCATTTTCATTACACACTCCATAACGTGCTTCATTTAATTTACGATGTGAAAAGGTATTGTCTGAGATAACGTACTGTTTATTTTTGAGACATCTTGAATCGTGGAAGGAGATAATATCACGATGGCCATCGTCTCATGTACGTTGATATTAGTTGAGGAACTAAAATTTTTTATGGAAATGAGAAAAATACTACGATGGAGTGTTCCAAATAATTCGTGTGCTGCAACTTTAATGTAATCCTTTTAAAGATACAACATATTTCGGTACGTTTATCACGTCACCACTATCGATCTGGTCGTAATACGGATAATTGTCTTCACTAGGTTTTGGTGGATTGCCTATGAATTGTGAGTTGGTTCAAGCTTCTTCCTTCTCCTCCATCTTAACTGAAATATGAGGCATAGTATATTCTCATCAAATATATTAGAACGAAAGCTAACGTAATCTTCTGAACCTTTTGTAAAGCCCTAAGGGTTAGCAAAGTATACATTCTCGCCCTTTATCCTGTCGAACAATACCAGTTGCAACGACCTTAGGCTATTAAAAGGTTGGGGGCAACTAAACTAAAACATGGCATCAACTCATTAAATCTTTGAATGTTAGTCTTACCTGTGTAGGAAGGTGTAGATTTCCCGGTTGGGGTCCTCTTGACAATAGAAGCCATTGGTTAGAAACTAGGTGACTTGGCTCAGAAGCAATCCCAATGGCGTAAATGTATTCAAACATTATCTTAATCGTTATACTGAATTCAGCATTTTCTTACTCCTTATCTTTTTACTACTTCCTAACACTTTCGACTGCTTTCTTCATTTCTTCATCTCTCATTTTAGTGCTTTCTAACTTGATGTTGTGATATGAGGTGTGGCAACTTGGACCACTACGCAATAATGATAGGTCTCATGTTGTTATTGACAATCTAACTTTAGATAGTCTTAGCAGGAGTCTACGGAAATATTGAGAGCTAGCTAATAACTTATTTCTCAAACTTCACGTTCGTAAGCTTGAAGTTCCCATTGTACCCTGAATGCTTTTGGATCTCGGCTTCTGTTATTTTCATTCTATGGGAAATGAGCGTATCGTTATGGTACTGTTTGGAGCTGTTCGATAAATGTGCCATCATGAGTTCTTTTTCTCCCATCTGAAAATCAACGCAAATAATGACATGAAAACGTTGCATCACGAGTACGCTGTTTCAGTAGCATAGTGGGATGAGAATTTGTTGGAATACATTTATTTAAAACTGGAAAAATAACGAACAAAATAGATGCATACAACTTAAGTTATAATCTTCGACTAAAACGTCTCGACTAATCTTTACGAAATAGACAATAGCATACTCTTATTTTATTTTGGGGGATGTGTCTGATATTAAACCCTTTTGGTGTTTGCACTGGAATACATATGTAGTCAACAATGTTGATAATCTCTCTACTAGTCAGAAGGCCACCTACTATAGTATATTCGAATTAGGAGACTTCTCAGTAAAAGTTCAATGGGTTAGTTGTACATGTAACAAGCTGAAGCAGGTGAAGAAATGGGTCCGGTTCAAGTCGTGGTTATTCCATGGGGAATCCGATTTTCCTGTCTTCTAAAAAGTGCGTAATTTGTTTAACATCAGGGCTCGTAGTGAGCTTAACGTGAGGAAAAGGCTGACTCATCCGTAAAGCATATACCGGAGCTGTGGCTCATTAGATCAGGAAGTTGACCTTAGGCTTTTGAGTTATACCTCCGAACACCACTCCGCCTACCGAGGTTTATGCAGCCAGGTAGTATCATTGGCCCTCACGCAATAGATGTGGCTCATTGCTTACTGCACGAATATGCACAAGGTTGGTGAGTAAATTTTGGTCTCGAATGCAGACCAGTTCTGGAGGAACAATTCGGATTTGGATGTCGAGCAATGCATCGCAAACATTCTCAAATTATCACTCAAGGTGCCCCGAAGACTCTGCAACTTGTCAGCATCTTCACTTAAGAACACTATCAGCTGCATACTTTAGTTCTAAGCAGAATTGTTTGACAATATCAGTCACTGTCAAGTCAGATAAGAAGAGGAAGACCTTCGTATGTACGTCTGGGAAAAAACTAAATGTGAATGGAGAGAGTGGGAACTTTTGGTGGTTACTACTCGAAGTACACAATTCACTATAGGCTTTAACACTCAAGGTTGCTCCAGTTCGGAGCCTTCAACAGTGTGATATACTTATTTTTCACCTTTTCCATCGAGTGACACTATCGTGAGATGTCTTGACCAACGGAGTTGACACCACTTCCAGGTAGATAAATACAACTAATGTTAAGCGTCTGTAAGTGTGCCTGTGTTCCGGAATCCAGTGGAGGGTGGATATCTGGTCGAGACATCCATGGTCAGGTCTGAAAGTCTACCTGGTTTTCTTGGATTTGGTTTTACTGGGCCTTACTTATTTGGCGCTGACGTGGGACCAGCGGTTTCTCACGTAGGACCCTATATTGTTGTAAGGTTGATTCATTGGTTTATAGTGTTGATTTCCAACACCTGGTTCACGTTTTCGAACCACGCTCCATCTGTGGATGTTTGGACAGCCAGATAGTGTCATTAGCTTCCACACAATGGATGTCGTTCACTGCCTTATGCATGCACATTGACAGGGTTACTGAGGGAGATTTTTTAGATGTTTTGAAACGTTTTTCTAGCCTGTCTTTACGTCTAATCCTCTGAAAATGTTAACTGGGAACGGTTATAAAAATTGTATCCCACAAGTCAATGTGTATAGAAGCAATACAAAAAAGTATCATATATACATTAAGTGTTGAATGCTATATAATCTCGTCCTCGATGCACTTCTGAAAAATAGCCTGTATCGTGCAAAGTACACTAAGTCGTATAATATAGTGCCAGAGTGTTACAATTTTAGGACGGTTTTCACTCCGAATAGCCGTCTTCTTGTCATATTCTCCTTTACAGTATTTATGTTGTATACAGCCACATGAAAGCGGAGTACTGAAATGCCTGTCTTATGTAGTATTTTACACACGTGAATTTTAAGTCCACGACTGGAAATCCCTTTTTCTACAAACGATGGATTTTTAAAAATCATTCATCAAGTAAACGTGTACTTTTAGGTTACGAAAAGTGGCTTTTTTTTATAACCGTAGGGATACTGTTTTCGCACAAAAAGTTAACGCGTTTCTGTTATTCTAATTTTACCCGCGATTCGCTGTTTTGATGGTACTCAGCCTCCTAAAGTAAAGTTCCACCATAAACTTTTACAGTCGTTTAGACTATTGTTTTTCAACTTTTGTTGCACCAAATGGTTGGTTCAAGATACCAGAAAAAAAGTAATCAGAACCTGGGTTCTTGTAATATTTCGCATCAGTTTGCGATACTTTGTGGTCTTTTAGCGAAATGGGAAAAAGTATTATTGTTTTTAGTTCGTATTCACTGATACCACTGCGAAACTACAGTTTTTTTATTCCATTACTTATTTTAAGCAAAATCTCGTTAAAGTATGGACACTAAGAAATGTTTCACACAACTTATAGCAGCCGCAAAATCAGAAACGAAAAAAGATAAGGAGAAAAAGATCAGGTTGAAGATAATTGGTTCCATGGGACATGTTTAAGTAGGCATTGGCTGCATTTGTGTTACTTTCCTTAATTGGCAACACAAGAAACTTAGCATGATCGCTACTGCTTTGATTCTGAGCTTTTATGATGTTACTTCAGTTCACTGAGCTACATGGATTTTTGAGGCGCCAGCAAGTGCTAGTACTAGCCACCTCTCTCTAAACCAGTCTAGGGGCTTACAAAAAGTTATATGTAAGCCACTAAAATGACATTCGTAACACGTTCATATGCCTTTTTAGCTGATATTTCAAAATGATTTCACTGAATGGGTGAGGACTTCTGGCAAACCTACATTTTCACTTTCAACAACTGGTTATATGCTAAGTTTATTGATTGTTTAAAAAGCTTCGTATTATTTTCATGACTGTTTCTTTTCTTTGCTTCTAATCTTTTTCCAGAACATTTGTGTTTTATCGAAATCATCTCACCAATTCATTAGTTATTCAATTATGGCGAAAAATACTGGGGATACAAAATTCCGAAAAGTTAATATTGATCAATTGACCGAACCAGCATTTCAAGATGAGTCAGTCGATGACATGAAACCGTCTAGTCTAAATCTGTCTGAAATCAATGATTTAATCGCAAGTGGACGATCTACTGAGGCTATCTTATCCATACTACAAAATGCTCCAATCGCTTCGAAAGATCAGCAAGTTAAAGACACAGTCTTCAAGTTAATGATGCGTTTATTGTCCCAGTTTAAACCAAATCAAAATATCGATGAGTTTTTGTCAACTATGGATCAAGAGAAAATTGATATACTAATGAAATATATTTATCGTGGATTTGAACAACCTCAAGAGATCAGTTGTGCAACATTACTGACATGGCATGAAAAGGTTAAGAGAGAACACTGATATCATTTATTACTATTTTGTTTTATTTGTATTTAAGGGTAGGATACTTTTAAGGTGATCCTACTTCATGCTTTTACTGCTCTAAAATACTGGGAATAGCTGTGATCAGTAGAGTGGTCAAAAATATATACTCCTTACAGCCATCTGATTTATACAAGGCAAAATCAGTCAGTTGTAAAAATTGTTCTAGATGATTTTTGAAGAAAATAAAGGGTCCACACTAAATATTGTCATACTGGTCAGTTATCAGTATATTTACACTCTACGATATATCGAACCAATTCATGTGCATTTTGATTCACCTATTGAGTAGTTGGAAAGGAGATCCTGTGCACAATAAAGGTACGTGTCCATACTAAATGATGTCAGAAAGACCACGAAAAGGCAGTAATTAGGGTGTTTTTAACCTGACACAAACACTTGATTTCAGTAGGTAAATCAATCTCAGTATGCTGGAGATGTCGTGCATAGCAATTTTTACTGAATCGATAACGTCTGCTCAGCCCCCCTCCTATAAGTCCTATGTCAGTAACATATCTTTTGATGGAGTTCAAACTCAATCATTAGGGCACAGGTTTGACCGTTGCTTCATCTGCCCTGTTTTGAACAAGCAGCATCACAGCGTTGACACTATAAGTGTGCTTCTTGTCTTGTACATGAGTTTGTGCAGGGTGGTTGCATTTCATTCCATTCATCAGTAAACCTACCTTTTAAGTGGAGAACAGACAATTATTCAGCCAATATAATTTCTTGTCGCACATAGTACTGAATAGGTGTTTCGTTCCAGTATGGGACTGCTCGACAGTGTTTACCTATAACCATGTAAGTGATCAACTCCAGAAGTATAATCCTTTTTGTGGGCATTAAACATTCAGCTACTGGGTTAGAATCGAATAGCTCACATTTTACTACTTCTGTTAATTCGAAAAACCGCTGTCCAGCGTTTCCAATTATTCTCAATGTGATATCAGTTCGTGATGAACTGTGCTTTGAAATTAATCAATTCTCACAAATCACTAATTATATTGTGTCTATGATTTAACTCATATTCGTCTGCACCAACTTATAATTTCTTATGAGATTGAAGCAATTTCCACTGGAACTCGTCATCAGTAAAATAATCATTGAAGTTAGACAGAATTATGCACTGTTTCATCTCATCTAAGAAATTGACCAGTATAATAATTCACATGAGACGAAACTTAATAATAAGGCGAACCGATTCATACTTGAAGCATTTCTCCATTGTTTTATATTCTATCCAAGAGTCACCTTTGCATCATTTCTCTCGATTCCGATGGAAAATATTTATTATTCCAATCGACTTCAGATATGAGATGCCTTTGTGTCAAATTAACCTTTAATTCATATTTCGATGGTCGTAAATTTACTGTGACTATATGTTGGTGACCTATTTAGGATGCGTCCTACCTTGCCGGTATTGCTTTCTTGCTTTAGAAGTGTTCACTCAATGACGTTGTGAACCTTTACCAACTAAAATGGCTTGAGTATGTGTTGCACATACTGAACCACCACCTACCTCGATATGCAATGTTTGCCAAGGTAGGATTGGGTCGAAAAAAGACTTACAGTGACCAGACCAAGACGTGGCACCTTTACATGAAGTCTCTAACTGCTGCTTTGAGTCATGTGGATAGGGAGAGGTGTCAACTGCCTGGTAGGTATCCATAAAACTAAATGAATCAATAGTCGAAGACCCTCGGTGTCATAAAGGAACATCTGTAAAAGTGGCGTATATGTATTCACTTTTTGTCATGTTTTAAAGTTTAGGCATTTTCAGTAACCTTCATTTTTTAAGTTCTTTAGCCTTCCATGCACTTTTGTATACCTTAGAATCACTCTTTGTCTAACCACTTTTCTTTTGTGTTATGCTGTGAAATGTGGCAACTTGAACCGATGCGTTTCTGCTCAAGGTTCTACTTTGATCTGTGACATTTTTCGTACATTGTCTCATTAAAGATTTTCCTGTTATTTTTCTCCCACAGGTATATACTTATGGTAAAGCTGGTTCCATTGTACGCGTTCTGACAGATCGCAAACGGGTTTAAAAGGGATTCTATGTATGTATTTTTGTATGCTTATTTACTCCCCACTTTTTTAAAAATTCAACGACGAAACGAGATGTCTCACTGTGCTTTCACCAACACTAAACCTTAGTGTTTAGGCTAGTTGGGTTAATTTCTAAAAGAAGTTTCATTAACATGGGAACTACTACCTTTTACTCATATGTTTTTTCAAATTCATTTTGCTCAGTTAGATAATATACGAAAATAAACATATTCAGCTAAAAGTTGCCTCCTTCCTTTGGTCTAATTTTTTTCTCTTATGGATATGTTAAATTGTGACAGTTTGAGGGAAAAAGTTTACACTGAACAATGCTTGATTACAAATTGTTGTAAATAAAGAATTTTCAAATGTTTCACAATGATTAAGTTGGCGAAATTAAATGTTTGACTAAATTAATCAGTCAAAATTTAAAAACTACACGGGTTTAGATACTTTCAGTGTCCTTAAAGCACTATCTTCATTGTGAAGTCTTGACTGGCGTAGATGTAGCGTAGGGCTGTCCTAAAGCTAGACTACATTATCCACATAAGACGTAGTAATACTGTTTGGCGATCCAAGTTACCCCGCCCAGCACCAGAGTATTGAGGAGGTCGATGATAATACTGTAGAAGTAATGGAAAGTTTAGGGCCAGAAGAAAAATAAAATAAAGACAAATTCTATCATGATTAATATGAAGATGAGACAAGTACGCAACTAGAATACATTTTTCCCCAATAAGTTAACTTAGGCTAACATTGTTCGCTATAGTTCACTTTGGTCTGGCGCTTTAGACGATGAATGATTATTACTGAGTCGCCTCATTTCTTATTACTACTTATTTATTTCTCCCTTGGGTTCCTTGTGAAACATAGGGCTTCAGTAGCACCTCGCCGTTTCTCTCTCCTTTCTGCAGTCTTTTGAGCCTGGCTTCACGACTGTCCTCACACCTCCTCCATGTCACCCTCAGCTGGGACGCCCAACTCGTCGTTTCCTTTGGATTCCACTCGAGGGCCTGGCACATGATGTCGCCAATCGGCCTTCTCAGTGTACGTTCAATCCAATCCATCTCCGCTTTCTTCTGCATATTTGTTGGGTGATAGGCAGAGTTCCTTGTTGCTTGTTCTTTCTGGCCATCTGGTCTTCAGTATCGAGCGTAGGTAGCTCTTGATGAATGTCCGTAGTTTGTTGGAAGTGCTTTTCGTGACACGCCAAGTTTCTGAACCATAAAACAGCCCTGACTTCACATTAGTGTTGAAAATCCGGATCTTGATCTTTGTGCTGAGCTCAATGGATCTTCACGCTGGTTTCAAATTAACAAAAGCCTATCTTGCTTTTCCGATCTTGGGTGGTTTTGACATCCTCGTCTGTGCCACCGCCACCTGTAGTTGAAAACGGTGCTGCCAATGTGGGGAGGTGAAAGAGACTACTTCCTTTAGGTTTCTCCCGTTGATGGTGATTGGTGCTTGTTGTTAGTTGGGTATCTTCATCACCTCTGTCTTCTCTATATTCACTTGAGGTCCCGTCTTAGCTGCCCTGCCTCTATTGTCAACTTGTTAGTTTCCGCCTGTTGATCTTCAGGTTTGTGCGACATCAGACACAAGTCATCGACGAAATCCAAATCTTCTAGGTTCTTTTCCGCGGTCCAGCGTATTTCCCTCTTCTCGCTCCTCACAGTTTCTTGCATGACCCAGTCGACCACAATCAGGAAGATGATCGGTGGTAGTAGGCGGCAACCTTGTCTTACTCCTGTCTTCACTTCAAGGGCGTCACTGACCTTTCCATGTGGATCACTTGGCATATGGCATCATATAGCATACAGCTGTGGAATGAGGTTGATAAGATTTGCAGTACTCCGTAGTGTTGAAGCAGCTGCCTGACAAATTACTTCTCGGTCGACGCTATCGAAGGCCTTTTAAAAATCGATGAAGTTGAGGTAGAGGTTTGAGTTTTATTCTCGTCTGATTGCAGTTGTTTGTAGAATTTCCCTTTTTCTCTTGATGTCCATTAGTTGTGGGTGCATAGTGTAGCATCGTATGATCATGGTTTTCCTTCCTTTTGAGATGAAATTTGGTGTCATAACCCTGGAGGAGACTGGTTCCTTTTGCGTGAGAGCCTTTGGTATTGTTGGGGACATCATGATAGCCACTGGTGAACTCAGTGTGGTCGTGGTTGTCGTCTGTATGACAATACCGGAGTAGATTATTGACTCTCCAGTTAAGAGTTTGGAGAGTTGACGTCCATTCCATGCTCTCGGAGATTCCTAGCCTAGCACTTCTTTGCCCTATTTTCTCATTTGTTTTGCAATCTGGACATCCTTGCTAGGTTCATACATTGTTCGGACATTCCATGTCTCCATGCTTACTTTTGCTTTCATCGAGAGAAGAGAAGACACATCGGCTGTTTGGTTTCCCGAAGTCTTTCACCAACCGACTCCATTTCGTCTACCTGATTCCAGCAAAGACTAAGTTTATTTGTTGTATTTCGTTTGTGTTTTGAAGTCTCTTTAGCGATTGGATATGGTCGTGAACTCCACTCAAAACCTCCCCTCTTTTTCCAGGCTTAGGACTGGCTAATTACCTAGTAAACTAGGCGAACCTATGTAAAACTTAAAGTTAATTAATATTCTATGAATCCCACTCTGGTTATCATTAAGTAACCGAACTAAAAATGTTGAATGTGATGCACAATGTAATTCATCTTCGAGTCAATCAACTTGCTGGTAGCACGAGGCGCTATTAGCCTTGACAATATATCATTGATTCTAATCAAGTAAAAAACGTCTAAAACTACTAGCGAAACTGACAAGGAATGTGGATGGAAAGCACTGGGTTCGACGATGAAATTCGTTTTCTAAGTGATAATGTCAAACACTTTTTACAACAGCTAGGAAATGCAATATATCATCTTTCATCTTTAGAAAAATATTTATCAAAGTGGATGACGTAAAAATACAACACAGTTCAGAAAAACAGTGTTTCGGCGTTTTATAAGAACTAAAAGATCATTAAAATTACATTCTAGATTTATTTTTTGAAGTATCGCAGTGATGCAGTATTATTTACTGGATCATTTATATGAGTTTGCTGCGATTACAAGCGATACGTTCCGCTTGAAATGTTATCCAACCAATAGTACTGTATCTCTACTGCAAATTAAATGCATTTGACATGGAATTACATTGTAATACAGTGTCCAAATTTTAATCTTATAACAATGTTGTTAGTGAGTTTCTGTGATTTTTATGACCAATACCTACAGTCATACTATGGGTTGATTTTTTTACATGTTTTCTATCTATAATGCAACTTCCGGTATAGTTATCAGATGAATGATAGGACGTATGCAGTTATCAAGTTGTTGAAATAAAATTGTTAAAACAGGTGAACAAGTTAATTTGATAAAATGTAACCGCACAATTTTTAGATTTATTAATTTCTGAAACAAGTGTTCATCAAATAAAATGATTGAACTAGCCAATTAAAATACTCATCAGAACGATAAATTATTCTAATCATCTATATTGTTGGTGACTTTCAAGGTCAATACAGTGGGTTATATATCACGAACAATTTTTGATTGTGACTGTTCAGTCACACACACACCCTTCTGGGTATGTAGACAGTTTTAAGAAAAATTATCATTGATAGAATAAATTGTAAACGAGCCTAAGGTGAAATTGATTAGCTCTGCAATTCATCATGGTTTTTATCCGACTTTCTATTAGATATTGGTTGGTTATTCAAGGACACAGAACGCGTTGGTGACTGACCAACACTGCTTAGTGACCCCACTCAGGGAGTGTACGGTCAGCTAATGCGAATAAATGCTTACGAGTTACACTGGTAGGCAGTCGTGCTGCATGGCGAATCGACTGGATCTGTAAAATGCTGACAAATAGAGATTTTAATCTGTTCACTCATCAGTGGTGTGCTGGTAATGGGGCTGGTAGGTTCAGATTTAACCCTGAAATGTTTTAACTGTGTACACCTTGGTAGATGTCCTAACTGAATTGAAATTCTTTTCAGTCTGACCGTGAGAGAATGTATTATTGGGTAATGCAATTAAGTCTTTTGATAGTCATTAGCTGGTAACTTAACGTGGTAGTCGGGTTTGTTTATCACAACGACCCGAAACTGGCTGAAACGCTTGTTTCCCCGAGGTCCTACCATACCAGATAGGTCTGTTGGATAGTGGTAAGAAGAGGAGCACTTACCGTCGTAGTGTAAATTGCTACATTGTGGTAGGGGTCTGAGGGCGAAGTCGTACTTCTGGGTGGGTGGGGTGTGACGGCAGCAAAGTGTTTCTCTTAGATGACCAGCGGTGTCACACTGATGCAGCCTTCCCTACGGAAATGAGGGTTAGGAAAAGTCGGCCTCAAAACAGTACACTCCTCCATGCCCCACGGTCTTGTTTTGGTGGCATGAATTTTCTCTTTCCAGCCTTAGAACAATCAAGTCTGAGGACGGCAGTTCTCTGAAGGCTGTGCGACAGACCTCAAGCACATATCCCTTATGCTCTGCGGTCACGCAGATCTTTTTCTCTTTCAGGTGACCTAAGGAAAAATAACCTTCCATGGTATGGGCAGCCATGAAGTATTAGCCCCCACACGCATCCAGTGGTACACAAGACCAGGTCAAATATAATCTATCCTTCAACTGTCTCCTCCTTCCCTTCCACCTACTGATGTCATTATTAAGTCTCCTACTTCTCCTCCAACCTCTCATTCTGTGACCATCCCCAACGAAATCTCAGTTTTAGTCTGCTAAGACCTTGCTATCGATTCCATGTTGGACCTATAAACGTTCGAGCTCTGTGTCAAATGGAATAGGAAGCATCACTCGCCAGTACTTTGGAATCTCAAGCCATGGGTGTATGCTGAGTCTCTAAAAATCGTATACAGGACCTGAGTGTGGTTATTAAATTGGTGTCACCTGACCATACTAGTGAATCTTCAGAAGTCACCTTACGAGTATCTGGAGACTCGATGGCTTCCTCTCGTGAACTCGCTGATGTAGGCATAGTATTAAGCTGTAGGGCGCAAAGTGCGTTTCTCGACTGGATACCATTAAACAGCCGTTTATGTGCTGTTCGAATGAATGGATCTGTAAGAACTAAGAAGGATAGTGAAACCAATCAATGCCTATTCGTAATCTCAGCCTACTCACCCACCGACTGTAGTTCGGATGATGCAAAAGATGAATCCTATGGAAAGCTGTCAATTTTGCCACAGAAAGAAAAACGTTCAGACATAGTCATAATGGCAGGTGACTGTAACACTCAAGTAGGGAAGCTGAGCCAATTGAAAGGCATCTTCGGGGTATTTACGGGATACTATCCCAACGAACCGACAACGGTTATTGTCAACCGCAATTTTGTTCCAACAA